CACGGCTGCTGCTGGTCCAGGTTGGACAGGGTGGAGGCCATCATGTGGGAGCCCCAGTGGGCACCGTTGACCCCGGAGCACATCTGGGCGTCATCATGAGGCATGTTGAAGACGTGGCCTGCAGGACAGAGAGGACATTATTTAAAGACAGCCTATTATGCTTTTTGGGGTTTCCCCTTTCCTGTAGTGTGTTATATAGGTTTGTGTGCTTATACATCATCTGCAAAGGCTACAATCAAAAGAAAAAAAGGGCCATTTGCTCCTTATTTCCTCATACTGTGTTTATGTCTGCACCATAGCATGTTTCTTGTATGTGTTGGCAATAAATCTGATTCTGATTTTGATAAAGAAGCATTTCTAACTCTACTTTTACTTACCAAGTTCATGCGCCACAGTAAATGCAGCTTGAAGGCCATCATCCTCCACAATAGAGCAGCTTCTGTCAGGGTCACACACTGTGCCGACATCTGCCATGCCCAGAGTGTCACAGGAGTGGGCGCCACACAGATCCTAAATATGCAAACAGAGAGCAAAGTTAATGTCTGACTTCTCCTTTATCTCCTCTGTTTCTGTCTCTGCTCCACTCCTCCTCTGACTCACCGTCCTGGTGAAGAGCACGGCGGTGTCGTAGTGCTCGGGGTGGCGGTCACTGGGCGGGTTGTGCTGCCGCTGCCACTGGCAGAAGTTGCGGAGGGTCATGGCGGCGTTGGAGGACACCTGGGGGCCTCGCTCCTCCTCGTACACCACCAGCAGCTTCACCACCGCCAGGCTGATGGAGTTGTGGATGCTGGGGTGGCGGTAGAGGCGGGAGGCCACGGCCATGATGGTCAGCAGGTAGGGCTTCAGGCCGGCGCCGTGGAACTCAGCCATGGACTGGTCAGCCACCAGCATGATCTCCAGGTAGCGAGGTGTGGAGACAAAGCGCCTGCTCCTGTGGTGAGCTGAGGGGAGGAGAGAAAGAGGTCAAACCGGGTGCAAAGGTCATGTGAGCAGCTATCATATTACACTCCTGATTTTACTGCACTTTTTATGTTTCAGCTCTACAAAGGGTTTTATTCAGAGGGATGACTCAGCGTCACACCATCACCGGAGACTCCTCCTCCGCAGGGTTCACATTCCTAAAATGACCTTCTCTGGTGGAAAACTAATCGAAGGGGAGGAAAATCCTTTCTGGAGGGGGGTGAAATGTCTGCCGGTGCGAGTTGTACCAGGAGGCGAGTTTACACGTCTCAGCACCGCCGGGCTCTGGCTGGCTCCAACCCCGCTGCTCCCCTCCCCTTCCTCCGTCACGCCTCCTCCTCTTTCCCCTTGGAGAGGCTCGACCCCCCCCCCCCCCCCTCTCTTCCCTCCCCTCCCTTCCTCATTTCTGGTAGTGCGTAGACGGCGCTGTCAAAAAAGGTAGCTGTGCAGCCTGGCACAACTCCAGCTGACAGCAGTTTGAGTACTCAGAAAAGTGAGGATTATTTTTTATGTAAAGCTTTAGATAAATTGACATTTCGACATAAATAAATAAATATAATACAAATAAAACTCGCTTTCTGTTTTTTGGCCACTTTTATAAGGTTGTTGCTTGGATAATGTGAGCTTTCTGAAATGCGTAAAAGCACGTAAAGTGTTCCTGCAGCTCACCTGTCTGCTCTGCGTTAGCTGCTCCGTGCTTGACTTCTTCCTCCAGATTTGTTGGCACCCTCGCCTCGTCCTCGTTGACCCCGCACTTTGAGCTCCCCTCCTCAGCCAGAGCTGCCCGACCTCTGCGGCGGATCGTGTGGACATCCTCCTCGGTGCCCGTGAAGTCATTAGAGTTTTGGGGCTGGATGAAATACTCTTCCCCCTGAAAGTAGAATCCGCCCCTGAGCCCGTGGCACAGGTTGAGTGCCGCGGCGGAGTGATCCTCTCCGTTCACCGTGCCAGAGAAGAAGCAGCCCGGCTCGGCTCCGCTCTTTGGTTCCTGTGTGGGTTCGGACTCAGGAGTCCCCACAATATGGAAGACAAACCCCGGCGCCAAGAAGGTCTGGTCAGGCTCTAGCTGCAACACCAGCTCTTTGCCAAATACATCCAACCTGTACTCCCTCATCTCCGCCTCCTTCTCCTGCTCCTCCGCGGAAAGAGTCCGCCACGACTCGGTTTTGCTCTCCGACCGGGCCGTTGGGTCTAGCCGGACCGGGACCACGGTGCTCTCCTCCCAGGCGCTGTGCACCCCGCTGACGCACAGAGCGACGAATAAACCAATGGAAACGTGTAAAAAACTCATAATAAAGCTGTGAAATCCAACAAGTGTAAAAACAAGTTGAGAGTAAAGTCTCTACGAGGAAGCAAATAAATCCTTTAAAAGGTTTTCCACTATCAGCTACAAAAACAAAGTTTTTGAACTTCCACAAAACTGTCTCCAAAATTACGCACACTCGTATAGACTAAAAAGGAATCAAATCCAGTGAAAAACTCATTCAAATGTATGTGCAAGGCGGACTTGTTGCAGAAAAAAGTCCTTTTATTAAGTACAAATAAAAGCTGGATGTCGGCAGTAAATCCAACAGGTCTGTTTCTCTCAGCAGATGTTTCAGTTTCCAGCTCTGTGTGAGTTCAGGGCAGGTTCTTCCTCTGCTGGCCCGTTTACTCTGTTCTCTGCTGTTGCCTTTCAGTCAGATCAGAGCAGGTCCCTCCTTATATCCCCCTGCCTCAGGACCACCCCTTTCTTAAGGGCTCTTTGATCTAAGACTGGCCAAATCCCGTGCGCACCAGCGACCTGGCGCGTTGCCATATAATCAATCATTGTGGAGGACAGAGAGCTTTGGGCAGAGACATGTTTTCTCCTTCTGACTGTCACAAGATGCACATGTACAGTCATCACCGTCAGTCATAATATGACTTAAACATATGAATCATATGTTAACTGATTATTCATTTATGATATGATAACCTCAAAGTGTGCCACTGCTTTCTAAACTGAGTAAACATAACTCAGGTCGACAGGCAGCAGTGGAGGATGTGTTGTAGTGCAACAGGAGAGGGAGATGGCAGCAGATCCAGAGGTAACCAAGTCTCCAGGAGTCGTACTCACCTTCCTTCATGCCAAGCCGGCTGTGGTGCTCCGTGGCCGGGCTGCGAGGCTCTGCTGCCCGGGGAGAGGGAGCAGAGAGGGGCCGCTGAGGTCTTAAGGTGGAGCGGCTCTCCATTCAGGCTGCTTCTCTACTCAAACCAAGGGGAGAGGAGCCCCTGTCCTCCGGCTTCTCCCCCCACCCGTCCGGACTGCTGCTTCTCTCCAACAGAGAGGACGAGTTTGCAGGAGTATCATAAAAAATACCTGGCAAAGCAGAAAACCGTATTAAAGACACCCCAAACAAGTGATTCACAGCAGATAAAACATTAAGGGAAAGTCCTTTTTAAAGAATCATATAGACATCTCTACAACATTCTGATTAAATAAAGTAAAATCTATAACAAAATCATGTGAAAATATCCAAATAAGGTCACTTCAGTGTTGTGTAATTTTTAAACAGTCCATGACAGCTTTTTGGCACCATTTGAGGGTCAGTGCGTAACTTTTTGACGTCACTTGATCACTCTGTGGGGACACATTATGGAAGTCCACCTTAAGAGCAACAGGTCATAAAAAGTGACTCATTGTAATTCCGCAATTTCCCAGAAGATGGTAGGCATGCCCTGTGGAAATTCCCAACACAGCTGCAGGTATTTTCCATCACTGGATGGGGCTGTATCACATTTCACCACAAGGTGGCGCCGTTGCATCACATGTATGAGCTTGTTGCTTTTTAATGAGTTTTAAAAAGACTACATGTGTTTTGTTCTTGCTGGGATGGAGTTATATTGTTGTGCTGCTTTAACATAAAGATATTATTGACTTGTATAACTTTTCCTGTGCAGGGTAATATAATCTCCTCTAGCTGCACCTCATGTGCATTTTACCTGTAGAATACCTGAGTGCAGGTGAGGTAAGGCCATGTTTAACGTTGTGCAGAAGTCTAGCATTTACATGTTTAATCACGTTTTATTTCGTTTGTAAAGGTGCACAGAGGGGTGCCTCTGCTGGAGGATTCTGAACCAGGGTCCGAAAGCATTTTGCTAATGTAATTTTGTTTTAGAAAATGTAAATTTGTCTCAAGCTTTTTAAAAGTGTTTCACACTTTGCAATAGTCGATTGCACCTCTCAGTCACCGTACATAACTGACAGCTATTGTTATTATTTACAAATTGATGGCCCCAGCCACACAGGGTCAAACAATTACACTGCACCTCACCTGCAGTAGTTCACCTTCAGTTCGGCTGCAGTCAAATGTGCAAATTATTAACACCACACATTTCATTTAGATGGTCAACTCTATATTTGCTTCTCATCTGACATGACTTCAAAATTGTAGCACAGCTAACACAAGTATTTGTTTGTATTAATGTCTTTCTTTGTCTTAAAGTTAAATCCACCTGCTTCCATGTCAAAGGGGGGATTTGGGTTTAACCAGAACCAGGTTCATTACCAGGTAGGTTTTAAACACATACGAGGAATTTGACTATGTGTTGTGGTGCATTCATAAACATACATACAAATAAAATACACTTTTTTGTATTCTGTTCATCTTAATTGCCCCTTGGTTTCAACTTGGTTTGGCCAAGCCACTGTATAGGTTCCTTGATTTGTCATTGTATTGTGTTCTATAGGCTTTTGTGCATGTAAATGGTCTGGCTTTTTCCCATCCATATAATAAGGCTGTTCTAATATAATCATCCCCACCCCAACACTCCTCTTTCATCATGTGTGTTTAGATAGCGACTGATTTTGCGACACATGCAAGGAAAATAAAATACAAATATGTGACCAAATGAACAACACAGACACAAAGGTATTTAAATATATAGATTTTATATACATATATTCATGTGGATGACTAGAAAAGAAACACTATATTCTCACAAAGGAATGATTCTGCAGTCATATGCCTAAGTTAAATAGTAATTTGATACAAAATTACTATAATAAATAAAACTCATCTCGTTGTTTTCTTTTATTCACACGTAGCAGTTGTACAAACAATAAATTACAAGTTCAGTGCTGTGTTTCTGTCGTTCAGCGAGAGGGGTTTCCCCACTGCAAGGGTCAGAGTAGATAAATTGATCTGATGGATTGTTCCAATGTGTTTGTTTTTATACATTTCTGTGTATATATGGTTGAATACTTAGAGATATATGAAAGATCTACTCATTGTATAAAATGTCTATATTGTGTAAATAAATCTGAATTTGGGTTTTCTCCTGAACAGGTGCCAGATGGGTGAGGTTATTACACTATGTACTGTTCAAAAAACACATGTGTTAATTAAAATATGTTTGTAGCCATATTTGTTTTATTTGGACAGATCAAGGCTAGTCGTCTCCCTAGCTTCACGTCTGTAGGCTAAGCTATGCTAACAGTTTCCTTGTTGTAGCTTAATATTCAGAGGAGAGGCATGTGTAGTATCAATATTATTGTCTATTTCTTGGCAAGAAAATGAATAGGCGTATTTCCAGATATGTCAAACTATTTCTTATAATCAACAGCAACATGACTATCCCAAATCAGTGTCCCCTTGTCGGCACTGGGACTATTTCTGTAGCATTTTTGACAGTGAGCTCTGTGGATTGTCTGAAGTATTTGAAGAATTGTATCTTCAAAATCAGTGGCACGATCTGAATTGTTGTAACATGGCGAACACCACCCATCAGGACACAGTTTAAAACATTTTCAAAAACATGATGTAAAACAGAGAATGAGTGTTGAATTGCAAAAAAGGACACTGCGTTAGCATCTCCCTTGCTGTCGTTGCGAGTATCCAGGGCACACATTGTCATATAAGCATTGCTTCCTAAACAGACAAACGAACAGATATTGAACTCCAAAATAAAACCTGAGGGTTGTTAAGCTCCCAGCACCGGCATAATGACTGATGCCGACAGAACCGAGAGTGAAGACGCTTCAAAACGTTGTCGATACATACTACATGTGCATAAACACAGGCCTGGGTACATGAGACACACACACACACAAACACACACTAGAGCTGCAACAGTCGACAGAAACATAATAGCCAACTATTTTGATAAGGATGACGCAAACCATGGCATTTCAACCTCTCAAATAATTGGCAGATTAATTGATAATGAAAACAATTGTTTGTTGAAGCTCTACACACACATCAATAATTACCCTAAGCCTGTGAGTCATTTTAAACCTCCATAAATGTTAAGGAGTGTCATGGTTACTTTGCCCCTATGTCAACCTAACTGTTGTAAAGTTTGTCCTCTGAAGGCCACCATACGCTGCACAGGTGACTTGTGTCTTTAGGAAAAGCTTTCTTACAGAGTTTTCTTGTATACGCTGCAAGAACTTGAGATGAGAAAAATATTTTGGGATAGGACGTAATTCACCATTCATTCTAGGACACGAGAAACCAGTGTTCCCTTCTTGTGCTGCCTCTCGTTTTTCAGCTGGACAGATCGTTCAAATAAAGACGCAGAGCGCTTATAGTCGGGGCATCGGGTAGCCCTTATCCAGGACCATCATTTGTATAACTCCTGTTACTGGGACATTTCCGTCACTGAGTGGCTCATAAATAATATTTTACGGGAAGAATATTGGTAGTCGATCAGAAGATGGAGAGTGATCTTTTCAACATTCAACCTGTAACACATTTGACAAGCGTTTCAGTTACTAGAGCAATTTGCGACGCAGTACACCCACCGCGGGACATTCGGCAGAAATGACGGCAAGCTAATAACGATATCTTTCAATCCAATCCCCATCGTTCTCACGGACAAATGGAAGCGACTTCCGAATCCCCACAGTGATCAGAACACATGGAATACCATACACAAACACGACATGCCATTACAGGGCAACACACACTGAGCCTCCAGGGTCTGGAGGCCGAAGTAAAGACAATCCGTTGCAAACATGCAATTTGAGTCTGTCCGGGCGGTCTCTACTGCATAGCTACTGCGATTCCAGGACATTCCTCCGGCGTTTAGTCAGGTACATCCAGAGTCTCTGTGGAGCCGCTCAACATTCACAGTCCTGTTTAAGGAGTCCGACACCAAGAACTCCAGACCTTTAAACGTCCTACCAATTGTTCCCCCTCTCCTGCCGCCTCAGCATTTCTTCACCAGACAGTGTTTGAAGGCGGAGGGTCGGACCCCCAACGTGCAGCCCTTGGAGAGCTTCCCCTCCTGGCCCTTACACTGCACAGTCCGGCTCTGCCAGCCAGTGTCACAAGTCCTAGAGCAGCTCATCCAGGACCCCGTCACCCAGTGGGGCCCTGGGAGGGGGGTAGAGGGGCCTGGAGCCGTCGGGACCAGGATTTTGGGAGTGGAGCAAGATGTAGTGGTGCTTCTGGTGGTAGTGGTGCTTCTGGTGGTGGTGGTGGTGGTGCTCTGTGTAGGGGTGGACTTGGGGCTGAGTTGGGGCTGTGGAGCATTCCTCCGTGGCATGAAGAAGCTGTAGCGAACATCCAGCGGCTTCTTAGCGTCCGTCGCTAGGATCTGCACCACTAGAGATTCCTGAAGGGCCCCGGGCCCCATGCTGTGGAGCCACTCGTCCCTCTGGCTCCAGCCACTGTAGTTGAGCACAGAACCGTTGAGGGGGATGATGGTCTCGGAGGTGGAGATCATGAACTTGCCGTTGAGGAGGTACTCGTTGCTGGGCCGGCGCAGGGCCAGGTAGGCGGTGTAGCGCGTCTGGTCCTTCGCCTTGTGCTGACGGACCTTAATGTGGGTGCAGCCTGCCGGGATCTTCACCACGTCCGTGTAGCCCTTACTGATTGGCAAGAGAGAGAGAGTAAAGAAGAGGGTCAGATCAGCATAAAAGCAAACATTTTCCACTGATTTAGGTTATGAAAAAAGCATAGAACATAGCATCTCTTGTTAGCAAATCTAGTTAGCACTCTGCTATTAACACATCAAAGCAAAACTTCCCTTAGCAATTGTGTGTAATTCTGATAAATGTAATGCACAGTTAAAGTTCTCTGTCTCTTTGTCTCACCTTTTCTTGGTGAAGTTGCCCACCACACGTATACATCCCGTGCTGTCGCCCCCACATATCCCACACTTATCGAACTGCAGCTTGGAGCCGATGATGCCGTCGCAGCCCGTCCGCACACACTTCCCTTTCACACACACCGAGCTGCTGTAGGGACGACACTCGGTCCCGTCTACCACCTGGAGACAAAAAGGAAGATTATTTCCCATTTCCCCTTAAATACACTGTACCTCTTACTTCTTTGCTTCAGCTCACCCTCTGAGAGAACACCACGTAGTATCCTGTTCCTTTGGCCCTGCAGGTCAGCTTACACACGTCTTTGGGCAGGACTCCGGCGTACTTCGGCACCCACTCAACAAACGTCTTCACCCCCTTAGGATCCGTCTGGGGACCGTTGCGCACTTCACATTGCTCCTGCCGGAAGTTCTTATCTGGAGAAATGAAAAGAGGATTGTGAGTACGACCAATAAGCTGTAATAATCACGCATGCATTCCCAGGCTGCGACACTCACTGGCTGGCGGACATGGCGTGACGTTGCAGGACCGGTAGATGGCTCTCTTCCCCGTGCAGTAGCGCCCGTTGTTGCGCGGCGGCGGGTTGTTGCACAGGCGCTGGGCGAACTTCACCCCGCCTCCGCACGTCCTGGTGCACCCACCCCAAGGACCCCAGGAGCTCCAGCTGCCGTGGTTGGACGCCTTGGAAAGAAGCGGGAAGATAAATGAGGAAGTGGGCGGTTAGTCAGGTGTCGCAGAGAAAGTAGGAAATGTGGCATGCATTGTGTGGAAAGAAGAAGCGGGGCGATCCCCCGTGTGATGAAGGAAACTAGCATGAAAGCTCACATGCTTCCCCTCGAGGAACATCCTGAATGAAATGTACTTATTTTTATGTTTTTCCAGCCAGCGCTGCATGAGTCATGATCATGGATAAGTAAGTAGCCTTAAACGTTTTACGAGACAAAGCTGATTTTATAATCCTGTAGTTCTGCAGAGCTTTCCATTTAGTTTGTTCAGTGTATAGCACTTCTTTCCACAGTAAAAGCCACTTCATCTGCAAAGAAATATTCTGTTTATAGAGGTTAAAAGGAGTCTCACATGCAGGGGCTTAACGTCAGTGGTCGTCATACATGGCAGTGAGAATGAAGCGAGTCAAGACTTGGGTCGCATCCACACACACACGACTGCCAAGAATCAAGTCAAACCCGCCAAATGTCATGTGACAAATAAACACAAAGAACATATTCTTCACACACACACACACACACACACACACACACACACCACACACACACACACACACACACACACACACACACACACACACACACACACACACACACACACACACACACACACACACACACACACACACACACACACGACATCCTGCCAAGAACGGATTCGCTCCCCTAACTTATTAAATTCAATTGAATTTGGTTAAAGCAAGGCCAAGAAAACAAATCGCACAGATCAGCAGCGGCATAAATAAAGCAGCAGACCACACACTGAACAACCCGACATTTTTCTCCTCGAGTGTCCTTCTTTCTCCTTTACAGTGTGTTGTTGAGTGTCTCAAATATACGTTTTTGAACTGTCAAAAGTAATATTTCTGTCTTTACCGAGTAGTGTCTCTTGCGGGTCTTGTCCACACACTTCCCCTGCAGGCAGATGCGCCCCTTCCCGCAGGGCGTCCCCTCCACAGCCGGCAGCTTCTTGGTCAGACACACCATCTGTCCGTGGCGGATAACGGCGCACCACAGGCGGGAGCACACGTCCATCCCCGGGCACACCGTGTACTCCGGCCCGAAGGCCAGGCGGCACTGGCGGACGGCGTCGTAGCTCTGGCCCGGGAGCTCCTCGGGGCCCAGGAGGGGGGAGCGGGGGGAGTCCAGGAGACACTCGGCTGTAGCAGGAAGAAGAGGGAGAGCATACATAAAACTAGTGACACAGAAGTGTAACAAAACAATCAGTAACGCATTTTTATCGTAGTTTAATGAAGAGTGTGTCGTGTGAAATATTAGTTAGCAAGCTAGTTAGCTAACATGGACTAATCACCTGTAGCTGAATAATAAGTTGTGTATGTGTGCTGAATGTCATCAGTCAGTGTGCTTAGCAGGTTAATTGCAAGTGGACCTTTTGATATATTATGTTTAATGTAAGTTTAGGAAGGTTTCATAACTTATTAGACCAAGCTGAGAGTATGCAGTATGATTCTGAAAAAACTAAGCAAAATAAATGTATTATAAACTAATGCATGCCTGGAAGTCCCTATTGTGTCCAAGTGTGCAACATCTGCAAAATGCACACTAACTGGCGTATGGAAGTCTTTTTGAGAACTGAATGTCATATCTCTCAATAGAAATGCATAGCATACGTCAGTTGCTACATGAATAACGCCCGAAGCTATGGATTTTTTTTAACGTTATGTCAGCTTTCGAGGCTTTGGCAGTAATGAATTACACTTCTGGAATCTTTGCCAAAGATCTGTCATTGCACTGCAGCTACACTCTTTAAGAAGTTAACAGGATTGTAAATAACGCTCTATTAGCATGATTACAGCTCGGTTTGGTCGTAAATAGCTCTCCCTGATAGGTAATGTGTGAGAAAAGCTATCACACGTCAAATTCACATGGCTGCAATTTGTAAACGGAGCGTGGGAAAGTGAGGACAGATCTCACGGTTTTGCTCTGTTTTTATGATTCTGCATTTTCTCCCACACTTACCGTTGCCATCGTCAAAGAAGTCTGTGATGGTGGCCGAGGTGCAGCGGCTCCAGGGCTTGGAGGCGTCGATGGAGGTGAGGATGGAGGACATGAGCCGCTTGTCGCTGTTCACCCCGAACTTCTCCTCGCAGAACTTGGAGTCATCGTGGGACAAACCGAGCAGGTGACCTGGGGAGAAACGGACGAGTTGATGGAAACGAGTTTGCACATGAGAAAAGAGAACACACTCGGGATCAGGTGTCTGAGATAAGACAATCCTCCCAAGGTTATTAATCAGCTGCAGAGAGATGCTGACAGATGTGCGGGCGCTGGCGTGTTCACACCTCTGTTTGTGTGGTGGTATACATGCCTACCTATCTCATGCGCGACAGTGAACGCAGCGTGCAGCCCGTCGTCCTCGATGACGGCGCAGCTCCTCTCCGGGGAGCAGATGGTGCCGACGTCCGCCATGCCCAGCGTGTCGCAGGAGTGGTGGCCACAGAGGTCCTGGACAGAGGAAATACCGTCAGTATACATCCTTCTTTGATTGATTGAATAACTATGATTTAACTTAATAAAGAACATTATAGTTTACCGAATGTCATTCTAACAAACGCAGCAAAAGGCAGTGTCTATTCTTGTCTTTCAAATACATGGACATCTGGCTATCCGAAAAGAAACACTGGATACTACAACTCCCATAATGCAATGCGATCTCCATAACTACACTTTGTAAAGCATGAAATAAATCCAAGCTGAGGTGTCAGTTGATACATTTGTTTTTACAGCCCGAGTATAATCTCTCTTCCTTCCTGCCTGCCTTCCTTCCTTCCTTCCTCTCTTCCTCTTCCTCCCGCATCTCCCTGTCTGCCTCCCATGGTTCACAGGCTGACACACTATTGATCTTTGTTTCCTTCCCACACATGTCCATGCAGATGACGCCCCGGGGTGCTCTGCTTGTCCCGGTCGAGTGCACAGATCAATCAGTTGACCCGTGATGTTTTCTGATGGAGAAAACCAGAGTTTGTCCACAGCTGACGTTAAAGTGACTTTCTGTGGATTGATATGACCTTAGCAACGGTCTGTTAACGAGAATTAACAACCTCTGGAATGTCCAAATTGACCAATCAGAATCGAGTATTCAACTAAGCCGTGTAAAAAAAGGACAATAAAGCCTTTGAATCTTTGCAACAAACAAAGCAGCGGAACATGCATTTAGGGTGCAGACACGAACACAAACATATACGTCCGTGTGTACAGAAGACACACACACACACGTCCGTGGGGAGGATGAATCGTCACGTTAAGTGGTGCTGACAGGCCTACTGGGTCGTGTGTGAGAGTCTCTCTGGGGAGGGTGTGTACTCGTTGCCCGCGGGTTGCTTTGGAACAAACTGCCTTGTGTTCTACGCTCACACACACATGGCTGACTGGGTGGGAACGCCTTACACACACATGCACAACAATATAGTAAATAAAGGGTATAAACTTGAACATATAGAACACAAAACTGCAAACTCATAAAGGAAAAGAGGAGGGGGAGTCCAGTTTGTTGCATGCATGGACGTTTTTCTGTCCCGTCTGCAGAATTAGTTTTAAGGGAAGTTTGATTTGAATCAGCTATATATTCGGTTTCTCTCTCCCTGTTTCCCACACTCTTTCACCCCGACGTGCTTTTCACCTCCCTCTCTTTCATTTCTTTTTCATTCCCACCCTCTCCCAGTCTCTACCCGAAGTACAGCAGCTGTTTTTGTTTCTCTTCTTGAACACAGGGCTTTTAGTGTAAAAAAGGAAAGACAAACAGGACTGTTTGATTAGAAATTAAAAGGAGAAAAAGACCTGACATGACCCTGAAACTCACTCTCTATCTAGGAAAAGCTTGCAAGCATCTGGGGGAATGCAAAGGGTAATAAGCCGGGAGGATGGAGGGATGCCGGATATTACAGAAAAGAACTGAGAGAACAAGGAGTGAGAGAAATATTGGCTGAAATAACAGGAGAACAGGTGGCATGCTGGTTGTGAAGGTCAGGAGGCGATCAGAGCTGTGTGTGTCTGTGTGTCTGTGTGTGTAACGAGACCACTTAAAATCTAAGCCAAGGCTTGTGTTAAACAAACAGCCCGCCAGACCCACACACACACTGAAGTCCCTCAGAGTGAGTGTAGCTCACACTGTGATCAAAAACTCCCTGCAGGCTGATTTCAATAAACCTGCTAATCAAAAAGAAAAGACTGGTCAACAGTTGTTGACATTGTGTGTCTGAAACTGGGCTCCGTTTCAAAAGAGGTGCTGGCAGTATGAAAAAAGACCCAGTAGAGCTACATCATACAAATCTGAACCTGAAAATGCCCAGAATATCTTTCTTAATGTATTTGATAATTGTGCAACAGTGGAGCAGTGTTCCCTGATCATCAGTGGCTCTAAAAGCCATCATGGTCTTAAGTGTCCTTTGAGGACTGACCCAAGGCTGCTTCATAAATCAGCCTTGTGTTGGCCTGATGTCACATGCGTCTTGTTGTGAAATGAAAAGATATGGCTAAAAAAACCTGTTCTTTACTCCTGATAATCAGATCCATACGTTGTCAACATATTTGACTTTCATACCGCGCATAACAAGAGATGATCAATTATGTTGTTGCACATTTTTTATTATTACGTACCATTTTTATTTGAATATTTCTTTATGTTTTTCTTATTATTTTACCTTTTTTTGTATTTTGGGATGGGGGTTATACATTTGTGTAATGTCTTCTGCTGGAAAAATGAAAAAGCCAATACAAATAAGAAGTCAGTGATGCATCTCAGTCTGAAGAGAGTGTGTTTTTTATCTGAACTCTCCGGCGGAGTGTGTCGAGGGTTTGGGATCCAAGCGCTGTCTGCGGGTTGTCAACATCTCCCAGACGAAGTTTAGCACGTGTGAAATATCAGGAACAGTTCAAACAAACAGAGGGACGGGGGCGAGCGCTGGGAAATGTACACGTTAATGTACAGACGCACACAAACACATGAAGGAGGAGGAAGAGGAGGAGGGGGGGACACACAAGAAAGGGAGGAGTCCCAAATGATAGACATTTTCACATTCACTGTAAGAGGCTAAATGACAAGTGTTTAACACATGTGGAGGAAATGGAGTGTGTATATTATGTACATACTGTGTACTTTACATCAATCGTCATTAACGGCCCTCTTCTGCAGACAGTTATCACCTTCTGAAGGAATGATATTTTAAAAAAGTGTTATTGTTTGGGCTCATATGTTGCATAAACAGGTGTACAATTAAGGCTTTTTATAATTTTTTACATTATTAATACGTAAATGTGGATAATCCTGGTAGTACGTGGATGGCGGCTTTAATGTGGCCCTAACTCAACCCGGGTTAAAAAAAGGTGAGCACTTCAATAACACGGGCATCACAAGTACCTGCAAGCAATGTCTGTCCAAATATTTGAGCTATTGCTGCAAGAAGCGTATAAAAAAAGCAGCATGAATGAACACATGTGCAGGGTTGGAATGTAATAAAGTACTTTGACTGAAGTACTGTAGCAGAGTTTTGAGGAACTTTACATGAGTATTTTCATCTTACTTCTTCCACCATACAGTTTGTATGTCAGTCTCTCTCTGCGGCCCTCTGACAGTGGGGCTTTGTGCACTGTCCAGCGAACACAGCCATGCATAGCGTTTAATGTTCTCGTACACACAGACACACACTCGGTTCCCCCTCAATGTACCCGTTGTTTCGTGGCGGTGCTGGTATGTGTGGGACAGAGTGACACCGCCACACGGTCAACTCACTGAGGGTATGGGGTGTTGGGGTAATTGGACCTGACCACAAAGAGACAAGTTCCCTCCGAGCCTCCCCCCTCTTATCTGGGAACAATGGACCGGTCTGACTTCACAGTCACAAAGTCTTCAATGAGCTCCAGTTCCAGCCCAACGGACGGCAATAATCTGCTTCACAGTCGCTCCAAATACGCCGCGGAATAATTTGTTTTCGCATATAAGCTACTATTTAGCACCTGTCAATACAATGGAATATTATATTTTTGTCATGGCCAAACAGTGGTACTGAGACTAAGACCTAATTTGGCCCCAAAAATACGGTTTCCATTGTCTGAGATAGGGAAAGAGACGTCTTTAAATCAGCGGGTGATTGTTTAACAGTAAATTCATTCAGTAAATTCCTATGAAAGCCATCGATACATTTGGAACGGAGCCCTGCCTCAAACGCTGCATCCTTATGTCATTCAGTACAATAGAATATTAGGCCATTTGCTGTAACACATATGAACTGAAGCTATAGCACCTCCATGTTTCCATTGGGGTTGGGCAACCCAAGTTATTTCCCTGAGAAAGTCCTGAGAAAATAGTTAACACATTGCAATGCCAAACTTCCTTTCTTTCTCAATCCAAAATGCAGCGTGCAAGGTATGAGCCAAATAAACGTATTTCCTGACTGGAATCCTGTCAACGGAAACTCTAAGGGCTCTAATATGTTTGTATATCGACGGATTGAGCGCAGATCTTGACGTATCGGGGGCTACTCCTGCTAAAATGATTAGTGTGGTTTTCAAGATGTCAGCATCTTCACATTCCACCTTTTTTCACCTGAGCTGAAACAACAGTGGATTCCTATTAGTCATCTTCCTGCAGCTGTAAACAAACTGCTTTTTCGTCCGTCCTAACGATCGAGCAATTTAAGCCGAAACACTGACTCCTTTAAAAGTCAAAGCGAGGCGTTGGCTGCTTTCTTAGCCTTATTAAAGGTCACGACCCTAAAGTCAAGTCATGCATGAGCCTCACTGCTCATTTGGCCGCAGAGAGGCTTGTTTGTCCTGCAGCGGTGCAACAGATAGGGATCAGGAACATGCCAGGGGCCAAATAGAGGATTATACGCTCGGCATGCGACAGAGTGGGGATCACCTGCTCCTCGTGCTGACAGTTAACATCTGCAGCTCATCAGTGAAGGTGAGATGTGGTAGACAGGTTTATAAACAATGTAAGGGCTGCGACAGGTGAGAGAGAAAGCACTGGAAACTCTTTCTGTTGAATAAGACATAACACTTTAAAAGAGGAAGACATCTCCATATCTGAGGCAATGTTTGCATGAAAAATGTGTGCTTGCTGATTCTTTTTGTAACTGTGCATGACTGTTATCCCGCATGGACTGCTTGGATATGAAACGGCATTGGAAATCAATGGAAATATGCAATGGAGAGTGGAGGTTTTTAGGGTAAGCATGAGTATTTTAACAGTATTAAAGCCCTTGTAAATTAAAAGCATAATCCACAGTATTCCGCCTGTCATGTTTAATTAGTTTCCAGGCCAGTTTGACTTCCTGTTCAGAGGCTGCCTCAGGAGTATCTGGATGTTCTGTTTCCATGCCCGTCTGACCCTGTCCACACTGCCAAACCCAACCACCGGAGGATCTTTCCATCTTTTGCCTGGACTCCTTCAATCGTGCCTGTGCAGGTGGAGCGGCAGCAGGGTTAGTGAGCAGCCACGACGTTGGTTGGCACGCAGGAAGTGCCACTTTGCCAGCAAACCTCAGGCATGCAGCTGCCTAGCCAATGCATGATGGAGCCAGCATGGAGTCTACGCCAGGAGATCCGAGGTTACACCACAACAAGACGCTGCATGAGCCCAACACACCGCATCTCAAGGAGAGCTATCTGGAACTGCAGCTAACCGCCGTGAAGCCACACCCGGAGAGGAGAGGTGAAAAATGCATGTAGGTCTGCTGCTGCCCTGCGGCTTTCCACTAGGCAGGGAAAAGAGGAGGAGAAAGGGACGGTGAAAGACGGGATAAATGAGTGTGGTCTCGGTAAACGCAGAGCTTCTTACAGGGTGGATGTGTTTGTTTTTCGGACAGCTCCCAGCCCCAGCTGACAGACGCTGGAAAAGTAACAGGGGGAAAATGTGCAGACTGGAGTGATGAGAGACAGAGAGAGGAGTAGAGGGAGGGAAGACTATAAGTGCAGCAGTTTCAAGGGGAGTTTGAGGGATATTTCTGCAATACATCCAGCAGCTAATTTCCAACCTCCTAGAAGAATTTACGTGCACGGCTTTACGGGAGCGCGCCTCAGATCACACAGACTTTTAGACCGTCAGGGGACTGGGAGGGAGAGCCTGGAGGTATGAAGAGCCTGCCTAGAAAAACACCAGGCGCAGGAAATACAGTTTTTATGGACTTTTTACAGACGCTGCGCTGCATTACGCACAAGAGATTCAGCAAAAAAGAAAAGAAGGAGGGGGGAAACGGAAGGACTGAGAAAACATACAAAGCAGAGACATGTGGGGAGCAGGTTCCTCACTTCTGATTGACTTGGATGCAAATTGGTAAATGATTCACAGTTGGCTACAATAACCACTAAATGAGACATCGAGGCTCAAGTGGGAAATACTGTGTCATTGCTGCTATAAACATAAAAAAGGTGACGTGTGTCAGTTGTTTTCCTTACTATAAGCTGTGTGCAATAAGCCCCCCAAAGCCCCAGCTTAGCTTCAGCAGCCAGCATGTGCACCATCAAAATAAAAACAAAGTGGCGTCACCCCCTCCGCAGCCTTGGTATCACACCGGGGTGCTAGCCGCCTCTCCGCCGCTGAGTGAGTTGGGAGACAGCAGGCAGTGGGGTCAAGTAACTGAGTAGATTTACTCAAGTACTGTACTTAAGTACTTTGTACTTCCACTCCAATACAATTCAGAGTTAAGTTTTGTACCTCCACTACATTTATTGCATACCTTTATTTAGATTTCAGATTTGGAGTAATGATGTGACAACACTTAAATCAGATTAAACATTATTTTGATGCTAATACTTTTGTACTTGAGTAACATTTTTGATTGCAGGACTTTTACTTGTAACGGAGTATTTCTACACTATTCAAATATTGTACTTAAGTAAAGATTTGAGTAGCCTACTTCTCCCACCTCTGGAGACATTCGCACAGGTGTGGGTGAGGAAAGGGACGTTTGTTTACCTGCCTGGTGAAGAGGATGGCGGCGTCGTAGTGGTCCTTGTGGTCGTCGTCTCGCGGGTTCTGCTGGTTCTGCCACCTGCAGAAACTCTTCAGGGTCGCTGCAGCGTTCTTGGTCACCTCGAGCCCCTTCTCCTTGTCGCTGAGCACGCGCACCTTCACCACGGACAGCCGGATGGGGTTCTCGATGCTCGCGTGCCCGTACAGCTTGGATGCGATGGAGGCCAGAGTGAGCAGGTAGTGGTTCAGGTCCGTCCCGTATTTTCGAGTCATGGTGTCGTCGGCCACCAGCAGCAGCTCCACGTGCCTGGCGCGAGACACCGACCTCTTGCTCCGCGCGCCATGGTCATCTGCGCTTTCCTGCGCGCGCCTCTCTCTCCCCTTCTTCACCCCTCTGTCCCGGCGTCTCTTTGTCGCATCCCGGCGTCCTCTCCCCCTGTCGCGTGTCCCGCAGCTCTCGCGCCCCTCACGCATGGCCTCGAAGCTGAAACTCTCGCGCGTGAAAACGTGGAGTGCGCTCTCCGCGTCCTTGTCCTGTAGCGCGCGTGCGTCGTGCTCGTGTCCTCGAGCCCTGACGATTGGCGTGATGGTGTAGCGCGCGTGGTCCACAGCGAAGAAGCCCTCGAGCCCCCCACCGCAGAGGTTGAAGACGGCCAGGGACTCCGCGTTGGAGTCCACCGTCCCACGGTACGCGCACTCCCGTTGCAGAGGAGCGTCCCCCATCAGAGAAAGCACAGACTGAGTGCCGAAGTGATGCGAGAGCACCGACTCGTCCCGCTCCATGTCCAGCTGGAAGCGACTCCCGTCCAGGTACAGTAAGTAGCCCACCTTCCCACCCCCGTGGTAAATCCGGTCAATGGTCCGCACCACCCCGTCGGTCCTCCGGGCAGGTGTGAGGAGAGACCCGTTCGCAGGTGGAAGATAGAAACCCTGGAAAGTAGAGAGACCCGCTCCTAGCTCCAAATCCACGACGCACAGCAACAGTAGCCGAAAGCAGAGCATGCCCTCGGCCAGAGCACCAAGGATCCGCACCATTGTTCATTCCAACCCGAAACACATCTATGTATCCACTAACAAGAGCCCGGATCGTCCGAAGAGACAACTTTGAGTGTTTGTTCCTCCACAAAAAAACGCATCCTCACGGTGTCCAAATCCCCAAGTGAAAACACACACAGTAGTAACCGAGGCGAGCAAACAAAACCATTGAGGAACAAAAAAACAAACAACGAAAGAGAGCAGCAGAGAGGAACTGTATGCAGGCTGCAGAGCACTGAGCTGAACTTGGAGAACAAAAACACAAAGTTTGCTCTTAATAGGACCCGGAGAGAAAAGTCCTGCCCCCTTTGCGCTCAATCACCCCTCCTCCACCCCCCTCTTCTCTCTCCCTCCCTCGCTCCCTCAAATCAAGTCAAGTGCTGGAGGAGAGAGACCTGAACAATGCTGTCACTGGAGTGTTTCCCATTGCCTTAGCACAGGAAACAGGGAGACTATTAAGACTCAGCATGTCCATCATAATCCTCATGAATCATCTCAAGAGGCGGTGAAACAGATTGTATCCAGCAACAACAACAAAAGAATGCAACATTCCCAAATAGCCCCATGATGGTACAGAACCATTTATCCCAACCATTAAACACCAGCCTGTTATTTTTACACTTTTACCACTTTGACTTCTTTAATAATTGAAGTCCAAGGAGAGTTGACTGGGTGGTTTCCGAGGCGTAATAATTCATGGTTGTTCCCGAATAAGAGTACTGGGAGTTCAACGTCCCTCTATAGGACATTTAATGGCATGCTGCACTTAGGTATAACACAGTTAGAGGAGAAAAAGTGTGTTTGTGCTTGTAGGTGTTGATTTGTTGTTGTGTTTAGGTAATAGGTGCCAATGGGATGTCATGCTCAAAAACAAACACACTCTCCGCCAACTACAGAGCTTTTCTTAAACGCCTTCAAAGCTCCAAGACACTGCTCATTTGCTGAGTCACCCAACAGCTATTACCTCCGCACGCCACAGAGGGGGGGGGTTTCAGTGTGTGTGTGCATTGCCAGGAGAGCCCGGGGAGGCCTCTGGTTGTGGATACACATGACACAAGCCCATGTCGGATCTCCCAAAGCATTGTGGGTAGCAAAGGCTCAGTGGATGCAGCCAGGGGAGTGGGTGTGAAAATGACGCGTGGGCAAGCGGCACAAGCTTCAGGAAAAGCGGGACATGTTGTGCTGCTATGGTAAGTCCCTCTGACATCACAACGTTGTACATCCAACCGAATCAAAACAAAAACAAGGAGGAGGAAGGTGACAGTGGGGGTGCGATTGGATGTTAGGGGGAGATGAAAATCTATGCTACGGCCCTGCAGCTCATATTGAACACCCTGATGCAGTATCGAGCGTCCAAATTGACTGTTATGCAACGCACTTCCCACCCACCACAACCCGTCTATGTTTCTCTCTGTCCTCACATCTCGCCTCCCCTTCTCTGTTTCTCTCTGTCCTCACATCTCGCCTCCCCTTCTCTTCCCCCCCTGCTGCTTCTCCTTTACACCAAACTGTCAAGTGTATTACCTGCAGTAAAAAGACGCCTATAAATACGGAGCAGTGTGTGAGAGAGGATGTTTGATCAGGACAGAGGGATGTGAGGACGGGTAGTTTATCCCGAAAAAATTTACACATAAAAACACACTGCAGCTGCAAAACAGTGGCACTGATCCTGAGCAGAAATTAGGTCCTCCGCTCCCTCCCTCTTCCTCTCTCCTCTTTGAATCTGACACTCTCAGCTCATTGGTTCTTTTTTAATCCCTGTCATCTGAAAGCGAGATGTATGCCAAAGCAACCATATGGACATAACCCCCCCCCCCCACACACACAGTAACCCGGATCACACGTGCAAAGCAGGCTGCATTGGCCAAAACAAGTTGTGTGTGTGAACCCGCGTGACGAGCCACGTGTGTGTGTGGGATCCGCCCCCTTCCTATGGTGGCTGGCAGGGGAGGAAATCCAATATGGTTAATTGACAGGCCGAGGCCTTACATAACTGCATGTTTCTATTAAGTGTGTGTGTGTGTGTGATGCAGCCTCTACACACACTCCTCTCTTGCTCCATCCCTTCACCAGTAATTCCCATCAGGAGGAGAACGCTCCAGATGAACGGAGCGGCAATCACAGCGCTTGTTCTGGTGATGGTTGATGGCTGATGAAGTGTGTGTGTACTCTCCCTTTTCCCCTTCATCTCACCAGGTGTGTCCCTAGCATCTGTTATCATGACGCCAAGGGAAAAAGCAACATCTCCCAGGTGACAGCTAGCCTCCACTACAGGTATACACACACAATAAATAAACACAGTCAACACCAACGCTTGTATTCACAGTATATATATGTTCATTAAAAAAAGACAATAATTGTACACATACAAAAGAAAGTCAAATAAAAGGCACATGTATACACCATATGTATACACCTGTAAACAGAGCATTTTAACTAGTCTTTGAAAAGAAAACAGGTGCAATAAGTCTCAGAGGTGGAAAGGCAGTGCAAAGAAAAACAGTGTTCAAATGTATGTTAAAAAAAAGAAAAGAAATGTCACTTAGCCTTCTGGATTTAGTGAATAGTATACATTCAGCTCTAGGTGAAAGTCTAGTTAATGATATATGAAAGGTAATGCAATTATTATTTTACGCAATGTCTATTCCTGCGATTCGATAACACAACTCTACAAAACAGACTTGATTTTTCAACATTCACACAATTCATTTTCTTCTAAAAAAACATACCTACTCTGCATAGCGCCAATTTCTTCATGTCCTCTACAGGGCAGCTATTTAAAAATAAGTGTGTTATGTTTGGGCTTAGAATTAGAAATGTATAACTGGTTGTCTACACAGCAGCAGCAGCAATATTTCAATATTGTGTAAATAAATGCAGATTTTGTCACATGATTGCATGTTGATAAATAGTCAATTGTTTTTTGGTACAGTGCAGAGATATTGTAATAACGCCTTTTATTCAGCAGTAACTGCAATTTAGACTTGTGCATTTGAGACAGCCGTTAACAAAACAAAAGTTAAAACAACTCTACCTTAAGAATAAATATAATATGAAAAGGTTCAATCATTTTGTCAACTAGGAAATGGTGAAAAATAATCCGGGCAAATCACTGTGTGAATGCCTGACTCTTAGCGTCATTGTAGGTGAGCAGTACCCGAGCAGAACAACACATGTTAAGCATGCAGTGATCTCTCATAGAGAGTAAAGTGGGAGGCCAACTCACTCAGAAATGCCATTAGGAATAGAGAACATAATGAATCAGCCTCCTGGGCCTCGGATGGGAGTAGTGATTAAATGGTTTACGAGTGATTCAAAAGAAGCAGATAAGGTTTAGGAGTGTTGTGTTTTATAATTGGTTGCTGGTTTCAAGGTGCTAAGGGTAAAGCAAGCTGAGTGCATTCAGGTGGCGTTCGCATTGAAGGGGCCCTTTTATGATTATTGTCAGGTTCATATCAGTATGTAGTGTCTCTACTGTGACATGTCTCCATGCTTTAATGTTCAAAAAGCTCTTTATTTTCCTCATTGCTGCAGCACCTCTTTTCACCCTCTGTCTGAAACCAGAGCCCAGTCTGCTCTGATTGGTTAGCTGTCCAGCTCTGTTGTGATTGGTCAACCGCTTAGCGATGTCCCGCCCCTTAGCCTATTACGTACAATGTGTTGGACCGCTAGCCAATAGAAGTGTGAGTGTTACATAGTGATGTTACTATATTCAGGAAGTAAACAAAGGAGTCCAATGGAGGCGTCTAAGGCAGGGAACATTGGGATTTCAAACCAATAGAACACACTACAGGAAAGGGAAACCCCCTTTAAAGGGCCTCTTTAAGTGTGATGTTCCACTTCAGCACGATGGTAAATATGCAAAAACATTCAGATATGTGTGGTAAACAGGTTCAACTGTAAAAGGTTCATATTCAAATAATTTTTTTGACAGGCCTCTGTGGTCAGCTTAAACTTATTAAGTGTAGAAATGGGGAGCCAGCCCCTAATTGGCACCCAGCAGCGATACCCTCCAACCTCAACCCTTCGCCACACCTGATTGGCTGACCAGCATCCAATGTAAGTCCGGCATTTTTTTGTTCAGGTCAAACGATCATGGAGGATGTCTGTGATGGGCTCCTTCTGCTTCTCTCTCAGAGGCAGGGCCGGGATGTAGGGGGGCCCAGAGGGGGAGTAGTGGAGGGCCAGGGAGGAGATTTCAACCGGGCTGCACAGACGATGGAAGCGCTGGGGGAGCGAGGTCAAAAAGTCACAGTTAGTTGATTAAAGAAATTAATTACAAGTTGATATACTAGTTTTTACTTGGGTTAGGGTTTGAGGGGGAGATATGGTAGTACATGAATAAAAGGGAGGGGTTTACCTGTGACAGGGTTCCCGGGGTGGTGGCCAGGGCGTAGATGGCCCAGATGGGGAGCAGGGAGACAGAGGAGAGCGTGAGGAGCCAGCCCAGCGCTGTGGCCCAGGCCGGAGCCACCAGACCCCTCCCCAGGTTTAATGGAGACCAGCTGACCAGGGAGAACACAAAGGTGGCCTGGGGGCATAAAGAAGGAGTTGTTAGTTTTTGCATCAGTACAAAATGTATTTGAATATACACTACACCCTATAAAGCGGGAGGGGGTCACTCACAGAGCACACGGCCGGGGTCAGGTACTTCCAGCACAGCTTGAATACGGGCAGGGGGCTATAGCCGGTCATGTCCCTGATGTTGGAACTGAAGCGCTCGGCTCCTGTGGACGAAAAAAAATGAATTTCCTTCACCACGAGAGCTTTGGTTTGAAATCATGGTCTGGATTATGACTGCTTTGTTGTTTTTGGTGGCAGTGGCTCACTATGCTTGGAATACTGTCTCCTGCCAATATCCACCACCGTCCGACTGAGTACAAGAAAATAGACTTGGCAAAGAAAACCTTACTTTGAAGTGACATTTCTTTGTTTCTATGAAGCAGCAGTTGTTGTAGTAGTAGTAGTAGTAGTAGTAGTAGTAGTAGTAGTAGTAGTAGTAGTAGTAGTAGTAGTAGTAGTAGTAGTAGTAGTAGTAGTAGTAGTACAATGACAGTAGGGAAGTGAAGTGATAAGGAAATGTAACTTCCAATCCAGTGAGAAAAAGGATTATAAAAGTAGGTGTCCCATTCTAAAAAAAAAAAGAACCTGTGGAGAGAGCATCATAAGAATTTTTCAAAACTAAACAAAAATCCCACAGTGATTTTACCGTGATTTAATTGTAATACACGTTTCAAAATGATGCCGAAGTAACTAAATACTGATAACGGTCAGTAAAAACCATGCTTTGACAAGTGTGCAGACAAGACGGCAGGCGAAACACTTTTAAAATGCGTGTTCTCTGAATGGAGCGATCTCCATTCGATCAGATCAGGCTAAACTAACCTGTATCTGCGCCGTCCAAACTCACAACAACGTCCTAAAGACAGAATTAAAGCAGCGACTGTATTCGCCATGACACAGACAGTCTGTGGTTTGTACATGTCTAACTTTTGTCTAGTTTCTGAACAGATATGAGGAGCTGTGAGGAGTTGATTAAAGACACACACACAGCTCATTTGTTATCACCTGCGCTGGCACTGCTCACACCTTCTCTGGGTCTTAATTCCTGCTCCGTTAATCATCTCTCAACATTATTATTACGTTGTCCTGATGCATGGCGCATTCCTTTCATCTCACTCTTAAACAAACAATGTTTCTTTTTTGTGTAAATGCTGTAGAGCCCCAGGTCTGGCTGGGATAGGAGCTCCCTGGGGCCGCCGGCCTGAGACTGAGAGGCGACGGGGCCCGGGGGCTGATTTAGGGCCTGGAGGAGACAGACAGGGGCCTGGCGAGGAGCCAGTCTCCTTACAACAGCGGGTAGCAGCAGCCATGTTAATATACTGTCTACTGGCTGCAACAGGAATGCAGGAGGAGGGGAGGAAGTGGAGTGTGTGCGTTAATCAGATTTTAGGAACCGCTTTCATTAATTCTTGGCACTATTCTGTCTTTATGTATTTTCTGTGTGTACTGACAGCCCTCAACCTAAGATTTATTCTGCCTTTTGTTAGACTAATAAGCTCCGGTGTTTAGGAATTTCATTAAATGTAGGCATTAAATGGTCAGGAAGGATGTTTTATACCTGAAAATGTGCTTAAGTGAGAGTAAAAATGTATGTAAAAAATAAGACATCAGAGAACATTTGAGGCTGTACAGGCGGAGACACTATTCAAATGAAAGGGGACTATATGAGAATAAAGAAGGACAATTAAAGGTGGGGGAAAGGTGAGAATAAAAGGAGACGATTAGCAAGGAGAAAAGGTAACGAAGGTGGTAAGGAGAGGAGGGGAGATGAGGTCTGTACCGTATATCCAGCCGATGGCAAGCGACTGGAAGATGGAGAGCAGCAGCAGGCTGGCTCCACTGCAGGAGTAATGGTCGTAGATCTGGAACACATACAGACCCCCCTGGACACAGACATGCACACAAGAGAGAGGAAATTACATTATTCAAATAATTTGTGTCAGGTCTTCTGGTTTAGCACTAGCAGTGTTGTCAAAACTTGCAGTGGCAAAATAAGCCAATGTTGAAGCGCCCCAGAGCAGGCAAACATAAGGGGTAAAGGTAAGAGATGTGACTTACGGGCGTGACCATGACCAGGCCGAGCAGGAAGCAGATGATGCAGATGAAGAGCAGCAGCAGCTCTCTGCGGTGACCCCGTCGGATCAGATTAGGGTACAGGTCCGTCACCGACGTCATCAGGGCCTCCAGACTCACAAACTGAGGGACAGAGGGGGGGGGGGGGATACTGCATGTAGTGAACAATTGTGAAAATGGTTTCAGTAAAAAACATGTATCTTAAGCCAAAAGCCCGTCTTGCAGAAGTAACACACTCCAATTTGTTAATGAAGACACACAACACACATATTAAGTTACTAAGGAAACGGCTCCTGCACTTTACATACTACATCACGTGATTCATCAGTGTGTGTGTGTGTACCTGTGTGTCCAGCCCCAGCATGATGATCATAAGGAAGAAGCACACGGCCCACAGTTGGGGTACAGGCATCATCGCAACCGCTCTCGGGTAGGCAATGAAGGCAAGGCCAGGCCCTGAGAGGATGACAAAATGTACACATTTAATATTAAGATATTTAAACAGAATCAACAGACTTCCTTCTGCTGTTTCCACCCCGGCCTCACTTCACCTGACTGGGCCACAGAGGCTATGTCCACCCCCTGCTCTTCAGCCATGAAGCCCAGCACGGAGAAGATGGCGAAACCTGCCAGGAAACTGGTGATGCTGTTCAGGAGGCACAGGAGGAAAGAGTCCCTGGAGGGCAACAGGAACAAAACGCGTCATAGGAAGACACAACTTGAGGAAGTACACTTTGAAAAGGGCCTGTAACAGAATCCACTTGGTTTTTGGTCATGTATAGTGGCGCTGTTGAGTGGTACAGTAAATCCAAGCCAAGGGTTTAGTGCTTGGCTCTTTCTGTGTGTGTGTGTGTGTGTGCGTGTGTGTCTACAGAGTGTGGGAAACATGGCAGCGAGGGCTTTTCATTAGGTGTGGCTGTATCAGTGTGTTTTCTCTCTCCATTCCAGCCATTCCTCCTGGAAGCCATCTGACCAGCGGGAGCTTACATCTTACATTTCAGTCTGTGTGTGTGTGTGTGTGTGTGTGTGTGTGTGTGTGTGTGTGTGTGTGTGTGTGTGTGTGTGACAAAAGGGTCTCACTTATAGCAGTCGTTGTTGTATTTGTTGTAGCTGCCGAGGGCCGTGAGACTCCCCAAACAGATTCCGTATGAGAAAAATACCTGGGTACCTGCATCCATCCATACCTAGAGAAAGAGAAGAAACATGCATTAACACTGAGGTGAAATGAAAGCCAGAAAAGATGAATCAAACCCCCAAAGCCCTGCACTCTGTCCAGTAGAGAAGAGTATTAGGGCCTGGCAAAGTTTATAATAACTGTACAGTATGTGTGTGTGTGTGTGTGTACCTGTGGGTCTGCCAGGCGGGTGATGTTGGGTTTGAGGTAGAAGATGATGCCCTGCGTGGCTCCGGGCAGCGTGGCCCCGCGAATCAGCAGCACAAACAGCATGACGTACGGGAAGGTGGCTGTCAGGTACACCACCTGCAATTCACACAGGGGGAGAGGAAGTGGTGAGGAGGACGGCACGGAGACGGAAGAAAACAGCAGGGACGATTCTGGTGAGGTCCTCTAACAGAGCAGAGAAATACTAAAGGAGGGAACCCAGGAAAGATGGAGTCTTAAAACCTGTTGACGGATGGTGGCAGTGACACGAGGATCTATACTGCTGCAGTGTTGAAAGAACACTACAGGAAAGGGAATAATACGGCCCCTTTAAATATGTGGACGAGGGCCCTCACCTTGCCTCCACTCAGTCACACAGCTCTGATGAAAAGCCCTTGTGTTAAACTCCTGAGAGGCTACCAGTTCCAGGGACACCGCTGTTTTTATGACCTTGTACTCTCTGCACTCAGAGATAGGGAAATAAAAAGAAGATTCATGTACAGCCGTCTGGATTGTGTTAATGGAGACAACCTTTCAGCAAACGTCTCTGTTTAGGGTATAAAGATTATTTTACACCGTCTCTCCGTTGCATTATGCTTGGCGGGCTGCAGCTTAAATCAGGAAACATTTTTTTGCAATTAAAAGCAGAATTCTCAGTAAGGAAATTACATTTTTTCATATTATGGGCCGTATACCAAGACTGGGCTGGATTCAAAGTGAATACCAACTGTTTAATCTCCTATTTATGGACTTTTATAAAAAGATAATTACATGTTCAGAAAGTGTTAAGTCACAGGAGTGGAGTAGGAGTTTTAACGCACATTTGGGTTTGCGGGTGATGAGGTCGGTGTGTTTTCCGCTCACCTTTCCCGTAGACTTGACTCCCTTCCACACACAGAAGTAACACACCAGCCAGACGATGGCGAGACACAGAGCGAGCTTCCAGCTGATTGGACCCAGCTCGTCTAAACTGCTGGAGAGACGGAGTACTTCTCGCCTACAACACAAACGAACACACACACACACACACTGTCAATGCATGATCAATTACACTACAAAGAGGTAAGAAACCGAGCTACACTCACTCCCAGAACTCCATGACGGAAGAGGTGGCGTTCTCTGGCAGGCTGCTCCCGATGGTTGTCTGGTTGTGGCGTTCAAACACCACACACGCCTCTGCAGGGGAACACACAGCAGGTTGTACACAGCGGACTCAAAATGACAACAAAAAAAAGGTATTTGCTGTCTTTACTGACCTGTGTTCCACGTGTTGTTGCAGTGCGACCAGGGCAGCACCGCCTGGAAGCTGTGGGAGAGGTAGAAGAGGGCCCAGGCCAGGATGACGATGTAGTAAACACAGCCATGCAGGATCATCACCTGGCTGGCATAGCCCAGACCTGCAGAGACACCATCATTCATTCACTGTGTTATGAGTTTTCAGCTGAGATGCAATATTATATTTGTACTGTACTATATTTTAAAGATCTGTACTTTGATATGTTTTATAAATGTCCGTGTGATAGATTATATGCAATTGTTATGTGTGCCTGCCCTTGGGACTGGAGAGGGAAATCAAGTATTTGTTCAAATCTGGCTTAAAGCATCTGTACTCCTTTGTGGATACTCCTTTTACAGAAACTCATGTGTTTATGATTCGTCATTCTGAGTAATTAATCATGAATACATATTTGGTAGATTCAATCTGCCAGCAAATCATGCTACAGCCAGACATACAGATAGAGGGTGAGATGATTTACACAGGCAGATCGTATCGTCAGCTGATGTGCGGTGCACTTACACAAATAAACAAGCTTCAAAGCATTTTCTATTATCAGTTCCAAGAGCTTCACATGAAAGCATCCATTCATTGAGACACTCGACTTGCAGCCCACATCTAGTATATCTTCATTACGGAAGAATGACTAGTCTTGTGAGGTTTTTAATGGGTTAGAGCGCGTGGGCTGTTTGCCGAGACAAATGGCTGGCTGTGGTCTCCTCTAATGAAATGCAGGCTTCGATCTGATGATTCCATATTACATGTGAGGGTTTCTTACAGAAGCAGCTCTTTGTTTGAGTGTATACAAACACATTGCTCAAGGACATGCCGCGTATTCTTAGCATAACTCATCCCTGCGCTAAAACACATGGTCTTTCTACAATAATCTGTCACAAAATACTGGTAACCTGTGTTTGAGCATCTGCGTGCCATATGAGCAGCACCTATTTGTCACTAAACAAGGCAAATAAAGGCAACATATTCTGTTTACAATGTGTTTCCCAGGTGGTCACAGTGGCGTGCTACTGCTGCACCTGCACACCAACTCAACATTGTGGTGTTTTCTGGACTTCATTATTTGAATGATGTGTTAAAAAGTTGAATATTTCTTAATCACAGCAAAAATAATTCAGTGCAGCATGTATTCATATAATGTAACCCCTAATTTGTCATTCTGCTGCACCTATAATGACTGATCAAAGTCCTCTGTGGTTCCTGTATGGGCTGACATTGCATTGCATGTCCACCATCCATACCAATACATTTCTTCCACCCTCAAGGTTTTGGATCCGCTGCACCTTACATAACTCTTTTTTTTAATTCTCCAATAAAGCATTGATCACAGCCGGTACTGCTGCCCTGGTTTGATGGTGTGTAAAGTTAATCTGTGATGCATTGTTTGGATAGCACAAAACCAAATGATGCAACTTCTAAGTGTGTTTTTATTGGCAGGCCTTCTGCACACTTGAGTTGTTTTGATAAACTAGTTGAGATTGAATATGTGCTGCACACGCATGCAGCTGGCAGGGCATGCCAAGTATCCTGATTGGTGTCAGATTGTAAACATGGGTTTTGTATCGATGTGGATCGAGGAATGCTTTGAGCGCTTGCATCAGTACGGAGGGTAAATGGGGCAAAAAACACGGGAAGAACCAAACAGGCTTTTTCAAATGTTCTTTTTAACATACATCTGTTATTTTAACCTCAGAGAATATCTTATGTGACAGCCATAAACGTAGCTAGGTGCATGTAACAAAATGCAAAGCAACAGCACACACTGCAGGCTTAAAACGTCTACAGATGACATAATTAGATCCGCGTACCTCCAAATAAGGGGCAGATCTTCCTCCAGGCGCTGACCCCCCCCAGGCTGGTGAACTGTCCCAGTGAGGTCTCCAGGAGGAAGAGGGGGATCCCGCACAGCACCAGGAACAACATGTAGGGCACGAAGAACACACCTGGACACACACACACACACAAACAGAAGGTGCTGTCTTATGATTGCATTCAACACAATAACTACCACAGTTTGACAGACTAATACAAAAAATGAGTGTTATGAACACATTTATGAGAATATATATCATAGGTGTAAAAATACAATTATCCCCAGCTCTAACAAAAACCTTGCACATTTTCATCCCAAGTCAACTAATCAACCAATCTTTTTTTACATTTTTTGAACAGCCTATATCACAAATTACACCTTTGTCTCAGGGGGCTTTACGGCATACGACACACTCTGTCCTAAAACACTTGCAGTGACAAGAAAAAAAACACCCGCGGACCCAGACACCCCATAATAAATAGGAACATATTTCTCCCTGCTCCCTAACACTTTACCTCCTCCGTTCTTGTAGCAGAGATAAGGGAACCTCCAGACGTTGCCCAGGCCGATGATCTGACCCGCCACGGCCAGGAGGAACTCCGCCTTGCTGGCCCACTGTCCCCTGGCATGGAGGCCGTCTTTGGAGGCTTTTATCCCGTTGGGGAGGCTCCCTTGGTGGAATGTATTCAGCAGTGGGTCTCCTTGCTGTGGAGGCAGCTGGTCGGTCATCACTGGTTGTGGCAGAGACACACACACACCCCTGAATAAAAGAAAAAACAATAGTATGCATAAGTTGTCAGATGAAGTTGAAACAGAAAAGGAGCACGAGGCAAGTTTCACTCACATCTATGCAGTCGGGTTGTTAAACAAGAATTTGGGTGTTTTTTCTGACAGTTGGTCTAGCTTCTTCACTTATCTGTCATGTGTGTCTCAAGGACGAATTTACATGGGTGTGCGTCCTTTATCTGCAGCCTGCAGAACTCTCAAGGACCAATTTTGATGATTTCTGCTTTACCATCTGCCTGAAGGCTATATTTCTCACAACACTATTTCATAAAATACACACTGTTTTAAAACTTAAGATGTTTAATGCAGTCAGACAATAACAGGTGTAATTCAAGCTGCATTTCACAAATTGGAACTGAGCCATTATTGATGCTTTTTCTACTACTTTATTTGCTTAAATGACTTTACCTCATTGTATTTCTGCATGTAGAAATGTCATTATATCCCCCCTATCGCACTTTTGTTGTTATTTTATATGTGGCTACGTTTAGAACAAAAGCAGACATACCTTTTATGTGCTTTGTCTTTCATATTATGTTATTTCCATTGTTTCAATTCCATATGGAAGCAGGGGTTGCAGCAGGGGTTGCTGAGGACGTTTTTTAAAAAAAAAAAAAAATAGTTGTGAACGTTTATGTAGGCTACCTCGTCTCAGTCACTCTCTCTCTCCCTCCTTCTCCCCCTTCGGTGCCATGTGATGCAACGACCACGAGCCGGCTTTCATAAGCAACCCTTCATTTTCATCGACAAATAATGAATGAGATATATATTAAAATGATATGCCGTGATAACGACATGCTAGCAACACATGGGCTAATTTACAGGTCCTGTTATCCATACAGTTCGTCGTAGGTTACACATGTAACACTTTCTAACGGTTACGCTATCTCTGCGGAGGAGTGTTGAAATTATGATCGAAATAAATGAAAAATATGAATTGAAAAACAGGTAACCTGTTGTTAAATATTCACTTGCTATGACTTATGAAACGATACATCGCAGAGAATTCGACATTGCTTTTCCTACCTCAGTGTTTCCTGTAGTTCCCTGCACCGCAAACACCCCCCTCACTATCTGTCAGATGGGTTAATCCTGACCAGTCTGACGCGTGGATGCCAAACAGCAATACAAACGTTATTCAACGATGACAATTCAGATCCACAAAACAAGATTATTATTTGTTTTACATAAGAACTAATATTTACGCAATTGTAATGAACTTTTTTATAAATGATAAATAATAAAAATCCCAAAGTATTAACAAATATTTGCAGATTATAATGATCATAATAGTAATAACCCCTGGCAGCTGGTAAATGTACTCAATTAAGTGAAGTGAGTTTTACACAACCACACCATTTGTTTGCTAATGCTAATCTATGCTTAACTTGCTTTATATTATAACTAATAACAATACAAAAGTATTAAAATAAAAAACTACTTAAAGTACTAAAAGTATATCATTATTATTATGATAATAATAATAATACCCTGTTAAGGTGGAGCTGATTTATTTTTTGAATAAATGCACTTTACTTGCCACCATCATCTTAAGATAGATATAATAATAATTATATTAAAATAACAGTTATAATAATATGAATAATAATACATTATTTCTCAATAATGTGCGTGAATTTATTTTAAATATTTGGTTTTGAATCTTTGCATTTATAGTATTTATGAATTGTAATTGTGTTCTGTTATTTTATTTGGATGTGTCTATGTATGCTAATCTTTTCCAAGATTAGCACATGCTGTGTTATATATTCAGGCAGAAAAAAAAAATCACCAGACTAGTTTATTTTATGCATAACAGCCATTGCTGAGACTTTAGGTCCCTATTGTGGACTCTGTCCTGTAAATGGTCTCGGCGTCTGAACCATTTAGACCAACTCCAGCTGCTTTTAGCCCATTTTATGGGCTGTGTCATTGCCTGTGCTCATTCAGCTGAGCATTTATAGCCACAGTAAAAAAAAAAGGCTCCAGCTAGTACTCTGCTCCATTCATAAATTACATTCCACTGCATGGACATATTAGGTTATATTAGTAGGTGTTTGAATCACATGCAAAAGTAATCATTGTCCTCTTGACTTGTAGATATATGCACACATGCATACATGTGTTTGGACTTGGACAATCACCATTATTGTGTTGTTCTTCTCAAACCTTTTAAAAGACAGAATGATATTATTATTATTCTTGAATGTCTTTCATTTTTGTAAAGCACCTTGACTTGCCTTGTGTTGAAAGGTGCTATATAAATAAACTTGCTTTGCCTTGACTTGCTTTGCCTTGCCTACAACAATAGCGAGAACGGGACATCTTGTCCTTTTAATATGTAATAAAGTTATAATACCCACCAATACAAACCGTCAACAAGCAGAGCACATAATGTACCAAACAAAGCACCAGCGCTAAAAAAAATGATATCATGATATAAGAAGCAAATGTTCCATTTTCCTTTGTGTAATGGAAATGACATCCATCAAGCTTAAGAACTGATTTACTAAATTGTTTAAGTTACACCATTTCTATGTACAGCTTACAATCCCTCTATGAATGCATGTCAGAAATGACTTCTGTCCCCTTCATTAGTAGAATAAATCCCCCACCAAAAAAACCTAAAAGTCAAGGGCCAAGAGTCAGGAAGTGGTAAAAAGTCTTGCAATCATATACAATGCACAAATTCCTTCACGTGTGCACTCCACTTACACGACTGCTCTCCAAACGCAGAGTCTGCTTTGCCTCCCAGGGGCCAAATAAAAATCCAGCGCTAAGGACCCTTCAATACAGTCGCCATTGTTCCATCCTGACGAACCTGCAGCGCCTGTAAACGTGTTGCCATGGCATGTAACTCAGACCAGGCATAGCCTTACACAATTTCTGCGTGCTTTACGGCCGCTTTTATTTGTGTCTGGCATCCAGGGCAAGGGCAGTGGGTCACTGATATACAATGGTATGCATTGTGAACGTCGTCACATGCGTCTATCCTGTTGTATAACGGCAAGTTCTTATAGGAAGCAACATGTTAAAGAATAGCGCAATCTCTATATACAAAACACTACAAGAAGATGTAGTTGAATGGCCTGATAAACAGTGGTATTGTATGATGCACATGAAGTTTGAAAAAAGGGCTTAAATTGAGTGCAATAACAACCAAGTGAAACACCTCAACAGAGTGAATGTTTGACAACACAACGCCATTTATCTGATTACAGTCCGCCATCTATCAGACCAGAAAGGTGAAGGTAATCTAATATCTGCAGGATAATTCTGTTTTCCTGCACTCAGAAGTTAATCTGCTGCCTTCAGGTCAGGCAAACTGTTAAAAGTGTAAGTGGTCTTCTTGCCTCGTTTGAACCCCTTTTAAAAGAGCACGTTCACTTCAGACCTTCCCATACTCTACTTCCCATGTCCTAAACAGGTAAACATTCCTGCGGCTTAACCCCCTTTCCTCTTCAACCTATGTGAAAAACATACCTTGTAAAAGAAGAGTCTTTTAAATGTAACCTCTGGCCTTATGTCCACACTGTACAAGACTCCCCCGAGGCTTGTGGTAGGCAAGATATTTGCTGCTGATAATCTTCCCTGGAGATTTTATGGGAATGTTTTTAAGGGGCAATTCCCTACGTGAGTCTTTTAACCACAGTGGGCAGACCTGTGAGATGTGTGTGGCTCCACTGGAAACGTAGGTCTTAATATGATTCGATTCGTTATATTTCATTTGACAACTTTGACAAATAAAGTTTCCATGAAAATGTCTTCCGCATGTTTGAATGCAAAGTGAAAGATAAGCCTGTCAACAATACGAGCTGTGAGGAATGGCCATTTTCATTCTCACACGTATTTTCAAAGGGATTTGTTCTACTTTTTAATAAGAATGACTAATAAGTAATTGATTTCACTTACAAACCGGAGCTAAACACACATGACAGAAAATCCTATCATGCTTGAGCCAAAACTAAAACAAAAAAATACATGAAGGATGTTATTTATAAAATAATGATCTTTTCTCTGTATCGAAAATTAAGTTAATTTAGCTGTTTAGGATAACTACAAATAGAGGCTTGTATTCACTGCATTAACCCAAAGAAGTTTACATTTTTCTGGAAATAACACTTGCATTTTGTGATATAAAAAGGTTAATCTGGGCAAAACATTTTGAAATAGAGATGTTTTTGCCTGAATTTATACTACTTAGATTGAACATGTTGCTTCCTGGGATGGTAAAATAAGTCATTTAGTTTTAAACAAGCCTCAACATGTTTCTAGGGTACATTGCACAACATTTTTATACCCCCACATCATAGTTGCACAAATTAATATAAGATCAAATCACGCAAAATGGAGGATAAAACAATTCATTATGAGAATCTGTGACTCACTACGATGCCTGTCCTTATGCTGAACTTACCGTTAACGTGGATTCCCTCTAAGCCTCAATGTAGCGCCTTAATGAGATGGATTAATTATGACCTTGTTCGTTCACATCATTTTACAGGAAAGCGAGCACACTGTTGCTCTCCCTTAGGCAAACCGGTTTTCGTCTGTGTTGAAACACACTCTCAGAGGGAAAACAGGATTCCTGACGATCACTGAGCCTGAAGATAGGGGCTAAACGATCATGGGAGTCATAGTCGTCCAACATGTCGTTTCCATCATAAACAATGGCCATTTTGTGTGAACAGAACATCTTGGTTTGCCCATGTGATATCTATATTTGACACAACTGTACATTATATCTAAAATATTGCACAATATGTATAGAGCACATTAGACAGAGGGGATCACTATATGCATACTACTATACGAAAATATGTCCTGTGTAGCGCACATTATACAGAGGGCAATCACAGCGGCTCTCCATGACAGCAGCTTTGTTAATGCTTTAGCTAAGTAAAAACTACATTAATTTTATAAGGCAGATGCTATTTGCACCCGGGTGTCAATAGTGAACAATGCTATTTGCACCTGTGGTGTTTACAGCATGGCAGAGACACATGCACCCAGGTATCCATAGTAGATAGTGCTATTTACACCGGGCATACATTTGATTATGTTTTGAATCTATAGGTATTTTTGGAAATGTGATTTGTTGTGGATAACTAGAGAGAAAAGTAAGATAAGATAAGATAGAGCTTTATTGTCTCCCTTAGGAGAAATTTGTCTTGGGCATCGAGATAATACACATAAAACATTCAGGTCAATCAGTCATAGATAAAGAACAGAGATTACATATCACATGGCAAAGAAACAAACAAGAAACATACAGGTACAGCACTTTCCCTATTGCACATATCCCTATTGCATTCATCATACATAATCAAATATTGCACTTTTCCCTATTGTGTCCATACCTATTTACACATAATGCACTTCCCCTATTTAACCTTCTCGATTGCACAAACTACACTGTAAACATTGCACCTCCCAACAACTCCTTACACAGCATAATCACAATTGTTTCTGACTGTTCAGCAGCTTGATTGACAGCGGAACAAAGGAACACTTATACCTGTTCAAGTTACAGTTTGGTAAGTAAAAAAAGAGAATCAGTGTGGAAGTCAAGTTAAGTCAGCTGTATAGTTATTAAAGCATCTAATGTAGTTTAAAGTCCCAGAGCTTCACACTCTGGGCTGTGGTTGCCCCAGGGAGGAATGCAGTGCTGGATTATCTCAAAACATCAAATAATAAGCCCCCCCCCCCCCCCCCCCCCCCCCCCCCCCCCCCCGCTCCCTTTCCACCACGACTGACAGCAAATACAAAGACTCCTGTTTTTCATCCCCAGGGAGAAAGAAAACTCTGCGGGAATCTAACTTTGAAGGGAGGTTGATGAATTAACTGGAAGGAAGTTACGATTTTATACCCCAAAAATTATAATTTACCGGCATTGTGGCAACGTTGTGGGCTACCTGCGAAGTAATTATATCATTACAGGCCATCGCACCCATTATAACCCCATTTGGTTATTTCATTGTGCGCTTGGCAGCTCTAACTTATGGGAGATTTTTGAATTC